CGCACATAATCACACACACACACACACACACACACACACACACACACACACACGCGTGATAAAAATATTTGCATTATAGTAAAACTACTATGTAATAGTATATTGCGAAACATCTGTCTTTAAAAATGTTTTTTTGGGGCGAATCTCATAAAGGCTGACAAGAAAATGTGTCAAACATTTGTCATATTTCACCTAAAAAAAATTATTAGACTTTGCATATGCATGAATAACTTTGTGTGTATACACACGCACATTATTTGTATGTGTGAGAATAAATGTGCTTAATTTTCATGAAAATAATATCATGTTAAACAAAAACAATTGCCACTGACAATAATAATTACAAACAAAAAAATTATATGAAATGTAAAGCATACAGAATCATTTATATAAAGATAAAAATGTTTACATTATAGTGAAAACAGCATAATATTGTTCCTGTGGCTCAGTGGTAGAGCATTGCGTTAGCAGCGCAAAAGGTTGTGGGTTAAATTCCCAGGGAACACACATACTGGTAAAAAATGTATAGCCTGAATGCACTGTAAGTCGCTTTGGGTAAAAGTGTCTGCTAAATGCATTAATTAAATATTATATTGTGAAACATCTTAATCTTAATTTTTAAAATAAAATTAAATATCCTGTTTTTTGTTATGATTTGGGGGTGAAATAGGCTCTAGAAATTTTCTTGACAGGTTTTGTGACATCTGCCGTTTTGATACTTTCTGAAGTGCTATTTATTTGCATGCACTGATCTAGATTTGTGTGTCTGTTTCTCAAAGGAAAAAAGAGAGGAATTGAAAAAGAAGAAAAGATAAAGGTATGGACGTTCACTCTTGTGTATATTTTGTAGCTGTCAGAAATGCTCTAATCAAAAAAAGGTTATGAGATTAATTGACACAGATGTGAATATAATGTGTGTGTGTGTTAACTGCAGGCAGTGCGGCCATGCCCTGTGCCTTCGAGCTGGGAATACAGTAATGGCTCTTCAGCTTGTAAAACCCCAGTCACAGTCAAGCAGGAGGCAGATTACTACAGTACAGGTTGGTAGTGAACTTCCTGCTCCGCCCTGCACACCTGTGTTTAGTGAGTATATTCAGGTGGAACCTGTTCTCGACAGTCTAGCAAGAAAGGAGTTACGATCTGAAATGCTATCTACTCTATGGGTTAGTTTTTATCTGTACACTCTCTCTGCTGTACATTTTGTTTCTCTGCTCTCCAAAACAGATCATTGTGAGTCATCTATTAGCAACACAGTCCAGGTGTAATTTAGCTAAATTCTAGACTAAAGAAAATCTGTTTGACAGATCTGTTTGCTATTTGAGGGAGTATTAAAATTTGAGCCTTTTTTAAACAGAAGCTTAAAATAACCCTGAAACCTAACACTTTTGATTGACTTGAATGGTGTATTTATTATTAGTATTATTATTTTATTTTAATAATAATAATAACAATAATAATAAATGTTTGAAAATATATTTGATACAAAAATACTACTACTACTACTACTACTAATGATTAATATTAAAATAATAATAATAAATATACATCAAGCTATTTTTATGTTAGGTATTGTTAGCTATTATAAGTGTTAGGTTTTATGGTTATTTTAAGTTTCTCTTTAAAAAAAGTATTAATTTATTAATATAGTATTTGTTATAAATATATTATCCTTTCCAATTCTGTCTAAGTTCAACCAGAGCACAAGTCATGCTTTTTTAAAGAGAAACTTAAAACGACCCTAAAACATAACACTTTTGAATGGCTTGTTGTGTATTTATTATTTTAAATTAATTAATTAATAATAATAATAACTTATATATGTAGCAAATATAATCAATCAAATATATTTTTATTATTATTATTATTTTAAATATTTGTTATAAATATATTACCCATTTAAATTATGTCCAACCAGAGCACAAGTCATTCTTTTTTAAAGAAAAACTTAAAATAACCCTTAAAAACAAAACTCTTTTGAATGCTTAATGTGTATTTATTATTTTATTTAATAATATAATACACTTTGTATATACTGTATGTATCAAATAGTAATTCTTATATATTTTTTTCAAATGTATTATTATTACACATTAAGTTGTTAAAAGATGTTATCTCTCAAGTTTATTTTAGGATTCTCTTTAAAAAAGCATGACTTGTGGTTTCAGAGAATATGAAAGGGTCTTTGAAACACAACAGCATTTTGTTCTGTGTTCCTCAGCCACTTTTTGCAAAAACCCAGAATGCTTTAGGCTTCTCTTACAACAGTTGATTTTGCTGTGCCTCTCCTGTCCTAGTTTAACACATGCATCACTTCACAGCTGTTTGACATTCTCTCACATTTCTCTGCATTCACAAAACTACAAAATCAAAAACTTTATAGACTTTAACTACTTATGGCACTGAAGTTGACCTATAGAGTAAGTTTTATACGCAATGCCAGCAGCCGTGTTCACATCGCCAACACATGTAAACCCAGTGTTTCACAATGTTGGGAGTTTGAGTTAGTAAAGAGCCATTTGATTTGCCTACTGTTGAATTTGTATGAATGGCTGGTGTTAAATGAATAGTTAGTGACATAATGAAGGTAAGGTTTTGTAAAAGGTTATGTCAATGGTCATATTTCACTGCATAATCAAAAAAAATATATTTATTTTTTTTCTTAAAGAAAAAAAGTCAGTTTTCCCCACCAAATTCCCATAGAAATAATTTTATTTTTATTAATGAAAATTTGTGTCCTTTCAAGACAATGATTTTTTAAAAACAACATGAATTAAATTCAGTACAACAAATGCAACCACGACATACAAATACATAAAGAATTTATGCAAAGTATACATTTTTTTACTAATTTATTTCGGGGGGGGGTTTAGGTGACAATACAACTCAAATGTTCTTGACAGATTTAAGTAAGATTTGTCTTTTACATTTTGGATGGGATATGATCACACTACACCTATCATTCTGTCGCAGACCAGTTTATCCAGATCTCCTTGTTACTGTGTTTGTTTAATCACATCCACTGTTCTCTCTTTCCCCCTTCAATTTCACTAACGCACTCGATCGGGGTTAAAGGTGAGCATAGCTTGTGTTTGTTTTGTCATGTGGGGTTTGTGATACACATCGAATTGGCAAAGCAAAATCAACTGCAACGTAATTGATTTACAGACAGCCTTTCAGCTGGTTAATTTGCTTTTAACCTTGTTTCCACTGCATCATTTCAATATGGAGTCATGGGAAATAGAGTTCAGCTACATGGACCGGAGGGATTGCGTCCAGAGTGAAAAATGACCCAGATCTGGCTCACTCCCCCTTAAGAAACACGTTCACTTCCCACTTCACTGTTCTCTATATTCACTCTCTCTTCCCTGTTCTCCCTTTCTCAGAGGCCGGTGGGCGGAGCCCAGCGGACGACCACCTGATCATTAACGATCTGCCTGACGTGTGTCAGACCATCGAGGTGGTGACGGAAAACGAGGAGCAGGCCGTGACCTCCAGCGACCTGTACCCCTTACAGATCTCCCCCGTCTCCTCGTATGGAGGTTGGCTTGACAAATATACTCTCAATCCTTTAGCCATGACTATATTCACAGTGCAGCATTGCTTTGAGATCCTTGGTTTTTGAATTTTGATGGTTTTGGACCGTGATAACAATTGCACTTATCCAGTTACAAAATAATCAACAGTTATCTGTGCTTAGTGGTTTCCTCGTATGCTCCAGACATATTGAACTTGTGTAGGAGGCGTGGGTTTGAATTTGCCCCAATCCAGTTCCATTTGCTGAAATATTTTGACTTTTTAATTAATATAAATGTCCAGAGCTCCAAACCACCCTGTTGTTTGCTTTGTAGTGGCCAGTGAAAACAGATACAGGCGGTAGATTTGATCTTGTGTGACATAAGCTACATTGCAAAAAAAATAATTTTCTCACTTAGTATTTTTGTCTTGTTTTCCAGTACAAATATCTAAAAATTCTTACATCTAGATACATTTAAGAAAATGATTTAAGATATCAAGTCTTGATTTCTGGAAAATGTTTCAAAATTAAGTTAGGCTTAAAACATGAATATAATATCTGTCTATGGGGAAAATATAGGGAAAAAATTATCTTGTTTTCGTTTTGAATTAAGTTTATGTTTCTTTCCCCATTGACATATTTTTTTCTTGTTTTAGGCATAAACTCAATTAATTTTGATCATTTTTCAGAAAACAGGACTTAATATCTTTAAGTGTTGTGCTTTTCAAGTAAATGGATTTTTATTTTTATATATCTGTCCTGAGGCCCGTTTCAGAAAGGAGGTTTAGTGAAAACCCTGAGTGTGTTAACCCTGAAATGAGGGGAACTCTGGGTTTTCAGTTTCAGAATGGAAGGTTTGTCAAACCCGAGAGAGCAGAGTAAGTCAAGCCCGTTTCTGAAAGAGAGGTAACTTACACTGTGAACCTAACCTGGGGCCCGTTTCAGAAAGGAGGTTGAGTGAAAAGTCTGAGTATGTTAACCCTGAAATGAGGGATTTAAATACTTAATTCATTCATGCACGCTGCAAAAATGCTTTTCTTACGAAGTATTTTTTTCTTATTTCAAGTACAAATATAAAAAAAATCTTAAATCAAGATGGATTTTCTATATAAGAAAATTATGTAAGATATTTAGTCTTGTTTCCTGGGGGGATCTAAATTAAGTGCATTTTACTTAAGTAAAATTATCTGCCAGTGTGGTAATAAAAATAATCTTAATGCAAACGGAAAACAAGATTATTCGGAGTGTCTATTACTAAGTGCAAATATACCGTAGCTCTGCCCTCCAATGTGACACAAGGTTAAATACGACGCGTATGAATAATGGCTTCAGTGATGTAGGCAGTAACGTGTTGGGTGCGGAGAACTAGCTTGTGACGCGATTGATCAGGTTCGAGTCTGGCTTTTGCCGAGCTCGCTCTTCTCACTTTTCCCATCACATATCACATTAGAATTTATTTTCAATAAAAATGAAGAAAATGTTCTAAAAGTGGAAGT